GTATGAAGTCTAATCCATGTTGAATGGACAGCTTACCAAACTGTCGCTCAAAGGAAAATGCTGTATGAAAATCCGAGACTTGCCAAATTTCCCCTGCTAAGTCAATTGTATATGTATGGGGAATATTATGAATACTAGGGGGCTACGCCCCCTGGCCGCTACGCGGCCCAACCCCCTGAAGGCGCTCCGCGCCATCAATGGGCCGCTTCGCGGCCCTATTTTTACCCTCCTATCAGTGTTAGTTTTATTTTTCCCCTAAAAAATGACGATATGAGGTACATTTTAATTTTAAACTTTACTTAAAATTACTTTAAAATTAAAAAGACGCGTTTTGGAATGACTGCTTGATGAAATATTGCAGTAAAACAATGAACAATAATAGTCAGGTAATAATTAAGATTTCAGGGGTCGGGGCTCGAACCCACACGAAGTTCAAAGTGGACGCATTCGACGTCTTTGACAACACGGCCACCGCTCCACATGGGAAAGCCGCTGCGAATCTTGTGTAGATAAGTGTAGAGCTGATGCGCAGGCTACCCATCTACTGCGCAACTTCCTCGACCACTGCGCATCCTCCCGCGCATAGCGGTAGCAGTACCGGAGCATTCTGTAAACTCACTCACTTTTAAAACGTGATTTTAAAAAAACATGGGTCCTTTTTCCAAAATCTGATTACAGCGGGCTCATCTAGGGTCTATTACCTGTCGATTTACGCAAGAATCATGGAAATCGGCCCGGTAGAACGCTCAAACGAACTATGACAAAAAGTATAAATTTACATTGTTTAAATGGGAGAATTCGCAACTTTACCACGTAATATAAAAAAACCTGGGCCATATTTTGAAAATCTGAAAAGAGTTGGCTAATCTAGAGACAATTGCCCGTCGAAAGCCGCAAAAATCATGAAAATCGGCCCGGTAGAACGCTGGAACTAAGCGTTACCAGTTTCGCAAAATTAGGAGGTCTTGGAGCTTATAGTATAGATTTCGTCTTGAATTTTTCAGTTAATGTAGACCTAATTGTAGTAAAATTCTCTGAATAATGCAAAGAAAAATATTCACAGATCACTCTGAACATTCATAAGTTTATCTAAGGAACTTAAGAAACGTTTGAAGGCTAAAGTTCTCCCTATTTTTTTCCAAGTCAGTTCTCCAAAAAGTTTAGGGAACTTTTCTTGCGAAAAATATGGTCCGTTTTCACAGATACAACATGAGAATCTACCTGTCAATTATGATACATGCTGGGTAATGGCTCTATCAGGGAGAAAAGGGGGTCACAATCTCATTCTCATGAGACCTCATCAATAATTAGAAATCCTTGAGTATCTTGAAGGGCATTATGCTCCGAAAATAAAACTGAAGAAATTTTGATGGTCAGACTAAGTAGCAAGTCAGATGATTTCATTCTTAATTGCTCCAACTATTTTTTTGCAAATAAATTTTTCCTGTTGTTTTCAAAATGTGAACGCAATATTAACTTCCTGCTTGCTCTATCCCCCCACAGGATGAAATTACCTCTGCTAGCAGCAGCAATACTGGACACAGCAGCAAAATTGAACAAAGCAGCAAGACAACTAAACAGAATTCGCTCACAGATGTCTTTTCAAATCAAGTATCCATGAATGGTGAGTTGGATATTTGAGTATTTAGTTATTCATTCATTCGTCTATTTATTTATTTGAAAGAGACAACTACTCAGAGAGGGGGACTGATGGAACTCCTGTCCTGGGATTCCAGCGCTAGAGGGACTGGGGCGCTTTGGGGTCAAAGTGACTCTCAAGTTTTTGAAGTTTTGGAGCTATCTGTTTGTCTTATCAGTCTGGAGACCTCACGAGGAAGTACAATTTTTATGATTTAGCCAAGTTTGGGGGCCTTACTCACAGTCTCTCAGGCTCAGAGTTAAGAAATTTCGTGAAAGATTATAAAAAGAAACATGAAATTTCAGGAAATTTCATTTAACACTCAGAATTCAGGATTAAACCCTAGAAACTTAGGAATCTCCTTAAGTCTCTTTATACGCACGTGGTAAACTGTCAAAGGGAACTTTAGAAATACCCAGGAAGTTGAGTAAAACAGCAAAAACATAATTTTGAATTTCTTTTCTCAAATTTTGGTTGAACACACAGCCGTACCGGTTAAACACCAAAATAAATTTTACGGATACAGTAAGACGTTAGCTTTCATACTTGGAACAAAATAAATTTCTTGATTATAAAGAATCCTAGTACCCCCTGATAGTATATCCTTCTTTTTTGGTACAAAAGGGAGGGAGGGATTTTAAACTATCCTTGAAACAATTTAAATGATTTTTCAGAAATTAACAGTTTCCTTCGCTAACGTATTTCTTTTTTGAAATAGGAAATATTTGATAAATAAGTAGAGTGCCTGTATTTTTGAGCTTTGAAGTGATAGATTTTGAGATAAGTAAGTAGGTAGGTATTTTACTTTTTCTTGAATCTGAGAGAAAATGTTTCAAAATGAAAGAGTAAGCATTTTGTAAGTATAAGAGAAGACAAGAAGAGAAGAACTTAGAAGAGACAGCGCTCCACTTGGTCTAATTGAAGAATATTATTCTCTTTAAAAATAAAAACAAATTCTGTTAGGAAAAACAAGCATTTTTGATATTTTGCCGGTCGAAAGAAATTTCATGGGGGAAAAAAAAATTTCATGAAATTTCATTCGATGAAATTTCTTCTAGCAACTCTGCTCTCAGGCTCCATTGATGCTTCATTGCAACATTTTTTTTGACAATGTATACCACTTTTGTGACTCAAGAAATTGACAATCTAGATATCTTTGAATCAATTGAGCCTATCCAAAAGCTTGAAATCTACATTTAGTGAGCTGAAAACTGCATCTTTAGTAACTTCATTTTGAAAATTTTTGGGGGCCCCGAATCTTTTTCATCTCAAGGTTTTCCTCCAGACCATCTTGTTTTTATTCACTGCATTCAGGACAGAGCTCTTTTGAAATCTAACTTACCCATTTGTAGCCTTCACAATCATTTAATTTAAAAAAAAAAAAAAAAAAAAAAAAAAAAAAAACAACGTGAAAGCTGTTAATTACTTACGAAATTCTTAAATCAAACCTAGCCAAGTATCTCTGTAATAATTGAAATCTATTACTTTGAACCCAAAGTTTTTTGACGGCTCTGGTGCTTGCACTAGAGCTGCTATTCCGGACGGTCCCAGCTGGGGAGTATCATTGGACCATGTTAAATTGGAGAGACCGCGCGTTGGTTGATGGGAATCGGCGCCATTTTCTGCTGTTTAGGGGGGACTGATTTTATTTTAATTGATATCTTTTTCCTGTGAGCGAATGCTATGTTGTGTAGTGTATTTTTGGAATCATGGTGATACTGTCAATAATTCAAAACGGGTCTGTGCTTTAATCTCGCACTGGAATAAATGTACTTTACGTTTAAAAGAGCTTGATGCAAAAACGGCTTTTTTCGCCCCCCCTCTGGAAGTTCTTCAGACTTTGTCTATTGATTACTCATACTTGAGCGCTTCTTTTCCCAAATTTTCAGACCCCCAAAAAATTTAGGGGGGGAGCTAGGGGGGGTGGAAGTCAAAACCTATGAACCTCGATATCTCTTGAACAAAGAAAGATATCGAAGTCCGGTTTGGACGAAAAATCGTCTAAAATTGCATACTT